AAGAGCCTTGGTGAGAGGGGTAAAGAAGAACCCAAAGGTCACTGTGGCTGAGCTCCAGAGATGCAGTCGTGAGATGGGAGAAAGTTGTAGTAAGTCAACCATCACTGCAGCAATCCACCAGTCGGGGCTTTATGGCAGAGTGGCCCGACGGAAGCCTCTCCTCAGTGCAAGACACATGAAAGCCCACATGGAGTTTGCTAAAAAACACCTGAAGGACTCCAAGATGGTGATAAGTAAGATCCTCTGGTCTGATGAGACCAAGATAGAACTTTTTGGCCTTAATTCTAAGCGGTATGTGTGGAGAAAACCAGGCACTGCTCATCACCTGTCCAATACAGTCTCAACAGTGAAGCATGGTGGTGGCAGCATCATGCTGTGGGGGTGTTTTTCAGCTGCAGGGACAGGACGACTGGTTGCAATCGAGGGAAAGATGAATGCGGCCAAGTACAGGGATATCCTGGACGAAAACCTTTTCCAGAGTGCTCTGGACCTCAGACTGGGCCGAAGGTTTACCTTCCAACAAGACAATGACCCTAAGCACACCGCTAAAATAACGAAGGAGTGGCTTCACAACAACTCCGTGGCTGTTCTTGAATGGCCCAGCCAGAGCCCTGACTTAAACCCAATTGAGCGTCTCTGGAGAGACCTGAAAATGGCTGTCCACCAACGTTTACCATCCAACCTGACAGAACTGGAGAGGATCTGCAAGGAGGAATGGCAGAGGATACCCAAATCCAGATGTGAAAAACTTGTTGCATCTTTCCCAAAACGACTCATGGCTGTATTAGATCAAAAGGGTGCTTCTACTAAATACTGAGCAAAGGGTCTGAATACTTATGACCATGTGATATTTCAGTTTTTCTTTTTTAATAAATTTGCAAAAATTTCTACATTTCTGTTTTTTTCTGTCAAGATGGGGTGCTGAGTGTACATTACTGAGAAATAAAATGAACTTTTTTGATTTTTGGAAAATGGATGCAATGAAACAAAGAGTGAAAAATTTAAAGGGGTCTGAATACTTTCCGTACCCACTGTACTGTGATCTGCCAGTCAGGTAGTCAACAGTCCAGGACAGGAGGGGGGCATAAGGAACACATCTGGGGTATCACTTTGTTGTGCCATTGCAAATCACCATCTGCAGCGAAGAACTTTATTGGGAGGGCATAATGCTGAGCTTCATACCATTCCACTGAGATTAGGGATCAAACCGTAGTCCCTGTGGTGGTGTGCAAGTATTTTTTCCTTCACACCAGCTGTACATCCCTGTCGCACTATATGAACCGGAAATTGTCTAACACGAGGCTGAGTACAGCATACTAGAGGAAAGCTTGGCCGATGCACCAGTCGCTTAAAAATGCTAAGGTGTGGATCACCTGTTGTAACAAGCATACAAATATAATGCGATTCACAGGCCAAGGCTGTTTGAGGTGAGGTGGAGGAGGCAGGAAGTCTGTCTAGTAGGGGGCTGGGGGGGTGTTTGATTGGTAAGTTATAGTCGGGGCGGGTGTTGAGTCAGCTGTAGCATAAAGTCAGGAGAAAGTCTGTCGTCTCACAAGACACAGCCGCAGGGAGTTGTGTTGTGTGTAGTCTGTTCCCTGCAGCGAGGCTGGATTTGTTCACACACTAGATGTGACTGGAATGACCTAGATAAAGTGACGCCACAACACCAACCTGGAAAGGTACATTTTTTGTGCAATGGAAATGTGTGTGTTAGCTCATATCTCATTGTTTCATGAGGCATATACAAATATGTTTTCATTTTTATGTTTGATATCCTTCAACTGTTAAATAAACTGTATTCACGTTGCAACAATTCTTCTGTGACAGCCCTGCTGCCATATTTAACACATGTCTGTTCTCATTTACATCTCACTCTTCTATAAATGATCCTATTGTAGCTTGTAGCAGGCCACTACCTCCTCGGGTTTACTGAGGTGTCAGATAACTTTATTTAAACTCATGTACTGTATGTCTAAAAAAGGTTTTTTTATTGGTAGGCTAGTGATCATTTAACAGATCATGCCAAAGAGGTGACAGAAACAAAACATAGCAAACAGTAGATAGGAATAGGATTGTGTTGCTCTTGAACTGGATTTGTCCATTCCTAGAGGAAAATAAATGTTCATGCCCATAACCAATCTCTAATGATTCTCAAGTTAGGCAAGGTGTGATGTTTTTTCAGAAGATGAGGGCACACCTTTTTGTAAATTCCTGCCTGGTTTCTGCCTGTGGTGTTCAGTTGGGTCCCCGGTGGTTTTGTGTTATGACAGTCAAGCTCCCACCTACCTCTGTTAGTTGGACTATATGGTCCATTGTGGCCGAGATGCCATTTCCCGATCATGGCGGTGTAATATCCCGCCTTCTGTAGTAGCTGTGGCAAGGTGACTTCAGACAGTGGCAGACCGGCTACAGAGCCCACAGCAAAGTTATGAGTCACCCCGTTTCTTAGGCCATAGCGGCCTGTCAGGATAGCAGCACGGGATGGGGAACAGGTCGAGGCAGGAGAATGGAAGTCTGTCAATCTGGAAAAAGTTAGGACATTTCTTAGGAGAAATTACATTTGACCTTGTTGCCAAGTGGAAGTAAATGTCAGAGAGGGAGAGAGTATAGATCAGTCATACTCATGCGGTCATATAAGCCTAACATTTCACGTGCAGTGTTACTCCACCATGTCCAGACTGAAACACCGACCTTCCTCCAAACATAATCACAATTTCATTACCATTTAATGTTTTCACTAAAAATACAAGACCTGGGGCATTATGTGTAAAAGACTGCAAGGCTACATTCATTTTTATACTACATCCCACGTGTGCTTGAAAACCAGCGTACGTCACCTTTTTGTGCGTATGCAGCATTTATACATGAGGACCCTGGTTCCTATGATATCAAAGAGGTGAGGTAATAGAATTTAAATCAGTGTCAATGATGACATTGAATTTAGAGCTACATAACAGATGAATTAATATATTCTATACCTTAGTCCTTGCTCGGCCATTAGGTTGAGGTAAGGTGTGTTGTTACCCTTCTTTTCCGGCTGGTTAGCATCCACATCACCCCAGCCTATATCATCTGCCAATATGATGATAAAATTGGGCTTCTTACTGGGCTCATCAACTCTGGCTCCATGTTGGGACACCGTGTGGAGCAGCAGCCCACACATCAGCATCCCAGACAGAAGGAACAGGGTGAAACCCTCCGCCATTTTGAGTCTAAATCTGCAGTGGATTGCAAAGGTTTCAGGTTAGGCTGGCAAGCATTTAACCATGATCAGCATAGCAGCTATGGCCCAAGATGTGGGCCCAACACACAATGAATATAATTGTATACAATACAATGCAAAAGTCAAAGTTGCACAAAAGTTGTAGCCAAACAACTACATTATACCACACAAATTTAAAAAAATAGTAGATATCTTATTTTTGGACTTGCAGAACAATCATACACTAAAATAACTTGCCACATGTACTGTATGTTAACTTGACAAGTGTTCAATAGTCCTACAAACTTTGGTTTAGTTTATACTGAAACAGGGCAAATTGCTGATGATAATGTGTTCATACTTCTTGTTCAAAAGTACATTGTTTAGTACTGATACAAATCACAATGTTAGGTCTTTGAAAAAAGATTAACTGAAATACATCTCAAACAGTCCTAAAGTTATTATATAAATATATGTATGGTCCTACTGGACAGTGTGAAGTGTTTTATTGTTTTGACAAGTTATATCAGATACTGACAATATCAATTAAAAATAATCAGTACCATTGACTGATTTTCTCCTAATAACCTGGTTTCAGAGATAGTACGTGTTTCTGGTGGTTACTCATGATTGGTCCAAAGTTGTTTGCATCTACCAAATGCCTCTTTCTTCTTCATCACACCAGTATATCAAGCTAAACTTGTAGGCTACATCAAACTGTCACTATGCAACAGATCAAAATTGAGCACCAAGACACAAAGACAAATAAACAGGAAACACCTTAAATGAAATGGGTTTAGCTTATTATAAAACTTCAATTAATAGCTGAGTTCCAATTAGATGCTGCACTTTTTTACTGGCCGTGTGTGGCTACACATTTTGACAAATAAACCTAAATAAGTCTCAGTTAGATGCCAGGTCTGGTTTTCATAGAGGTAGCCTACTATGTATGTATAAACTTTAAATGCTCACTGGGTCGCACACTTGAGCTAGTTCTATGCAGCTTAGATTGTGCATACAAATATAAATGTTTAAACTTTACTCAATATGGACATGCCATCGTTAGATCGGATAGATTCTCCAAAATTCAATTGTTCAGTTAATTTTATGAAAACAATTAGCACCACAGTATAATTCACTTAGATTTATTAGCATGTTAAACAAGAGAAGTGGGGACAAAAGTGGTGATAAAGTTCAACTAAGTCTCCCTTCAAAACAGAGAGTCAACTGTGGCTTTAAATTTAACAACAGATGCCCAACCACTTCATCAAGTCTAAATACTTAGATAATATCAGCATTTATGGTTGAAGATGAAACAAAAACTTTCTAAAGAAAAATAAGTATTTTAAAGGTGCAATCAGAGAGTTTATGCAGGCGAAGGTCACATTAGAGATTAATATTGCAGTTTGTGTAACCAGTGGTCCATATGGTCCTTGTGGTCTGGACCAGTTGCTCTGTCCGTGGTCTTTGTGTTCTGGACCACAAGTAGACGAATGAATTATGAATGACGAATGAATGAATTAGAATCTGTTGTTCATTGTATTGTTGGGGTGTGATAGATAGATAGATATATAGATAAATAGATAAATAGATAGATAACACAGCCAGAGAAGGTGGATTAGGACTAGACCACTCCACATACCACTTAGGATGGTAACTTGTCCAGACCACTAGCTCCTGCGCTCCTAGTGGTCGTAACCAGTGATCCGTGTAAAAGCGACACTGAATTGGCTACAAACTCTACTGGAGGTATGGGGGGGAGAACTGGCTGTAACCAGATCTCTTTAAACCCCCCCCCCGTGCCTGTCAGAGAGGACGGGGTGTTCATGAATGCGAGCTAGTGTCAGACTACATGTTTGCGTGAATGAATGTGCGTGTCTCCACATGTGCGTGTGTTTGTGGATATATGCACGAGAATGTAAGTAAAGTTCAGTTCATTGACGCAGCGCGCTGAACACTAGCGGGATTCCAGGAGCAACAGTCAAGCGGGGGACGGACTGTTTACGCCTGAATATAGCTTCACACAGGTGAGACAGACTTCAATAGGCAACAAGTAATTTAATTATATACGAGCGCGTTTGCTTTAGGACAGTAATTGCATATATCTAGCACGTGTTGAAGTAAATAGGCTATACAAACAGGCAGACAGATACTTACACAGTTTGTTTGCAGTTAAAGCCTACATTGCCCACGGACCACGAGCCGCTGCTGGACTGTGCGTTGCGTCATCCGCATGAGGACGGACCATATGCCCCCGACTATTCAACATCACCACCCCTCTTAATTAAACAATACAGATAATGCACTGTCCTGTTTCAACCCAAATTAAATATTTAAAAATGTGTTTTAACAGGGCAAGACAACACAATCAAACACCACGTGTCTTGTGTGTGTAATAAATAATTTAATAATCATTAAAAACAAGGTGTAGAAGAGTTGGTCAGGCAGTGATTTCCAATTAAAAAGCTACTAACATAAAGAGAAGGGTGTCAAAGTGTTTTCTCCCTGCAATTTAACTTAAGGACATTTTTGCTGTTAGAAAAACAAAACAATGTGAGTAGCTATTAAGGAGCCAGTGAGGAACATTATGAATTCATTGTTAATAAGTCGTTCATGAATATCTCAGAATCAAGAACTCTATAGATGATAATGGTGAACTACTAGGGAATAGGCTGAGAAGTGCTATATTAATTAATTATTTTGTAATGATTAGTTCATAAATATCTGTAAATTGATATGCCTGTAGCCTACCGAGTACTTTTTCATGAGCCACTGAGAGGCACAAAATAAGTAGCCTAACGATTCACTTGATAGAAGCTAATTGAAATTTTACCTCCCTATTTTGCACAAATGTTTTTCCTTAAGTCAGTCAAAGTAAGGTATGCACATTTTAGGTATTTTTAAATTTTTATTATTATTAAAATTGCTGACCACACAAGTCACTAAAACTGCCATTTCTCTTTACAGGCCATGGCACGATGTGGAGCCAAGGGGACATGTTTCTTGGGGCCAAATGTGTACCCAGAGGCCCCTGATGGAGGCTGGGGATGGGTGGTGGCTGGAGCCTTTTTCTTGGTAGAGGTTTTCACCTATGGCACCATCAAGAGCTTCGGCATCTTCCTCCAGGACCTAATGGAGGAGTTTGGAGAGACCAACAGTCGGGTCTCCTGGATTGTTTCCATCTGCTTGTTTGTCATGACTTTCAGTGGTGAGTATAGTTCATTAGGTTAAGAAAAGTAAAGTTCAGACTATAGACTGAAATGACTATGAAATTGTGAGGATCACTGTACCATCTACACTAAACAAAAGTTTGTTCTCCATGGGTCCTCAGGTCCTCTCTCCTCTGCGATGACTAACCGCTTTGGGTTCCAACTTGTTGTTATGATTGGAGGATTACTTATTTCCTCAGGTACCATTGCCACCACCTTTACCAGCTCCATCAATCAAATGTACATCACCTATGGAGTAGTTGCAGGTATTGAATTGCTTTCTTCTTCCTTCTCCCTCTTTGAACATCACATTATTCTCTGAATAAGTTTTTTTATCAGCTTGTCTAGCTTTATTAGAGTTTAAAAACTTGCATCTTTTCCACCCTTCAGGTCTGGGCTTCTGTCTGACCTTCCTGCCCACTTTGACCATCCTTTCGCAGTACTTTAACCATCGGCGTGCTCTGGTGACAGCTGTGGCTTCCACTGGAGAGTCCCTGTCCATGTTTGCCCTGGCACCAGGTGAGTACAAGAGCTTCCACTGACGTTTTGTGCATACAGAATGTGTTTTTTAATATTTGTTCTGGAGTTTGTTACTCTTAAAGGCAAGGTGACTTGCATAACTTATTTAGTGACAGGAAAACTCAAGGAAAGATTACTAAATTTGGATTTCATTGGAAGATTTTATGCTCATTTCCAGCTCTATATTTTTATTCTGGGATTCAACTAAAGTAGCTTTGCATGATTCACAGCATAAACTCCTGATTTATCTTATACTGGCTGTGTGAGCATAGTGTTTGTGGACGCTGCTGCATGTATAAAGGCCTGCACTTTTCCTGGCAGAGTTGCTTGGGGCCTCACTGATTACAACTTATAATCAATGAATTTGGTAAAACTGGATCATATTTTATGGAGTTTGTATATGGACAGATAGCTTTGAAGTACCCACTAACATGTGCTACCATTAGCTAGTTAGCCATGCAGCTAGCAGCCCTATTAGCTTAAGTGACTCTGTCCGGACTGGGAGCTCGAGCTCCGGGGAGGGGGTGATGATGTTTACACATCTAGTCTGGGCAGAGTCGGCTAGCTAATGGAACCTCTAGCTGCATGGCTAGCAGAGCTAACTGAGAAGAAACTAACTTTCCTTCACAAGCTCTTTCTGTGAGACATAGAGAAAGGACAAAGCAGAAAGCACTTTGAGTAGAGCGGAGACAGACTGAGCGGCTGTGGGCGCTCGCACCCCTGTACTTAGTGGCATGAGCTTTTTTTTTGCTCACAGCGATAACTTTTACATACGTTTACCTCATTATTTAAAACTTTTAGACACGTTTAGAATAAATATCTGACATTGAAACATACATATAGCAGTATTACCAAAAGCATAATAGGTCCCATTTAAAGGATAAGCCTGTTAATATTCTTTATATTTTTTATTATCAACAATTACCAAGAAAAGACTAAAAGCAAAAATGTATTGATTCTACTAACAAGTATTCACAGTGTAGTCATCTAAAACCTATTAAAACACATCAACAGCCACACCGTTGCACTTGATCAACATTAACCTTTGTACCTTGTGCCTTGTTTCTTCCATAACATGTCCATGGGCACATTTTGTTTATTGTAGGTCAATCCCACATACACCATCTTGCTGCCGTAAATACTCACTAGAGTGTGGTTGAAAATAGTCCCCAACAAATACTTACTCCTGTTTACTCCTGCTGTGTGACCTCCACTGGCTACCCATGGCCTTCAGAATCAGATTCAAGTCACTAATGCTCGCATACAGAGTGACTACTGGGTCTGCACCTTCTACCTAAACTCTATAATACAAGTTTACGTTCCTTCTCGGCCAGTACGCTCCTCCAACGCCGCCTGGCTCTGCCATCCCTTCACACAAAGCAATCCCAGTCCCGGCTGTTCGCAACCCCACGATGGTGGAACGAGCTGCCACATGTCATCGGAGCAGGGGCGTCCCTCTCTAACTTCAAGAAGCTCTTGAAAACTCATCTCTTCCGAGAACACTTCCTCTTATAACACCTCTAACTCCTAACATCTAACATGCACTTCCTGTGCTCTTCTTCTTCTATCCCCTACAATTATCTTGTATTGATTGCACTTTTTTGCACTAGGTATTTACCCCATTGATGCAATATGTGTCATTAGCGCTTACTAGTATTTATTGCTGCGTTTATTAATATGTATTGTCAGTTGTAGATCTCGTGCTGTATTTTATGCTCTGTTAATGAATGTATTTTGTTCCTCAAATGTAAGTCGCTTTGGACAAAAGCGTCTGCCAAATGAGTAAATGTAATGTAATGTTGTGGAGTGCCTAGCTGTTCTAGGAAATTAATTTTTTTTACATCAAACTTTGTGACATCTTCTTAAAACCTACACCTTTAGTGGGAACCAGTGGGCTTGGGCTTGGGTCATGTCTTGTTTCTTTTATGTCCATTTTTATAGTCGTCTATATACAGTCAGATTTTGAACACCCCATACTTAATACCATGTATGCCACTCACTCACATAATACCTCCTCTTGCCCCTCAGCCTTTTCTGCATTGAGGGACCATATTGGCTGGAGACATACCATGGCAGTGATAGGAGCTTTACAAAGCACCATCATCATCTGTGGTGCTCTGCTTCGGCCAATCATTATCAAACCCAGAGAGACCCATGAGGCAGAGACTGACAGGTCGTACCCAAAGGAACTGGAAGCCCTCAGTACACAAGAGAATGTAGAGAGCACCAATTCAAAGGACTCTATGACCAAAAATACCTCACATGCACAAAGTAGTCTGGACAATGAGCGGACCATAAGCTCAGTGAGCACCGGAGACTCTGGTGTCCAGTCTCTCAAGGACACCGACAACAGCAGACCAGAGGAGTGGACTTTGCTGCACAAAGAAGCAAGGTTAGAGACAGAAGAGATATCCGTGGAGAGCAGTATGGCAAAGAATAGAGTGTGTGAAAAGAACAAAGATTCAGAGAAACAAGTGATAAAAGATGAGGAAAAGAAATTGGTTGATGAAAAGCTATCAGCAAAGAATTGTAAACTTCTAGATTTCTCCATTCTCAGAGAGTGCAGCTTCATTCTCTACTCTCTGTTTGGACTGTTTGCAACGCTCGGCTTCTTCGCCCCTCATCTCTACATCATTGAGCTGAGTGTGAGTCGAGGTGTGGAGCGGGACCGCGCCACGTACATGCTTTCCACCATGGCTGTGGCTGAAATTTTTGGCCGTTTCTTCATTGGGTGGATCCTGACAAGAAGGCTGTTCAGGAAGAAGAAGCTGCTTGTGCTTCTGGCATGTGTAATTATGATTACTGCGGATCTGGTGGGATTTACTTTGGTGACGGAGTTCTATGGCCTGGCTGTGTGCTGCGCTTGGTATGGGTTCTTTATGGGAACCCTAGCATGCACCCACATCCCCATGCTGGCTGAGGATGATGTGGTGGGCATAGAGAGGATGTCTTCAGCTGCTGGTGTTTATGTGTCCATACAGAGCTTTGCTGGGTTGGCTGGACCCCCACTTGGAGGTAAGTGTAATGTTGTAGTGAGAAGTTTACTATTAATACTGGCTATGATTTCACTTGATGATTTCACTAAAGCTGTATTGTCTTAAAGAGGTGGTATTATACTTTTTGGCTTTTTCCTTCTCCTTTATCGATTTATATACCTTTTTTGTGCATGTAATAGGTTTGCAAAGTGAAAAAGCCCAAAGTCCACCACAAAGGGAGTTCTCATCTCCCACAGAAAACACTGCTCTGAATTGCCTGAAAACAACTCGTTTGTAGTCCAGCCGTTTCCCTTTCATCCCTGTGACCTCAAAAACACCGATGGAAAAACGCTGAGCTGCAGCACGCAACTCTTCTCCCTTCCAAACACTAGCTACCCTCCAAGCAGTCAATGGACATAAAGTTGTTACTGTGATGTAGAGACAGAGCTCAGTTAGAACTTTATGGATGAAAGATACTTTTGTACAGATTAATGACTCACCACTCTGAAACTCTTGCTTCAGTCTATGTTGCCAAGCTGGTCGGCAACATAGACAGCTGAACCAAAGCCGTGTTTACCGGCTTCTCATTGGCCCGTCCTTCTCTGCTTCTGATTGGCTAGTTGTCCTTAACTAGGAACTGGCATGTGCAACTCCAACAAAGATCATTTAGAGACAAGATGTATCACTCCACAGCTAAAAATTAGCCTTCAACACAGGGTGAAAAGAGGAGCTGCAGCAATGTGCAGTATGAAATAAATATGGTGTTTTTTGAAAATGAAATCATGTAAACCTATGCTGGTACAACCCCTAAATAGGATTTTGAACCTGAAAATGAGCTTAATACCACCTTTTTAAGACACAATTATGATTTAGATACAATGTTCGATTGAGTGCAGTTACAATGTACAATGTACAATGTAATGTGCCCCTTTAATTCTCCTCTATCCCCAGGTGTGCTGGTGGATGTGACTCAGAACTACGGATCAGCCTTCTACTCCTGTGCAGCTGGCATGGCAGTTAGTGCCGTCTTCCTGGGTTTGGTAAAACCAGCTAAGAGAGGATTGCTCTGCAGGAAGAGGAACTCAAAATGCCCTGAAGATGTACATGAAAGGAAAGGTTACTCTGAGGAACACAGTGCAGTGCATAAACCAACCAACAGTACGGACAGTCCTGAGGGCTGCTCTGAAGTAGATGCCAGCTTGGTTCACGACCAGGCGGTGGCTGCAAGTGTCCCGGAGGTTATACGTTTTGCTTGAGCTGATAACATAGGATAAGGGTAAAAGGGTCAAGCCATATGAGAAAAAAAAGGAATCAAGTGTTGAAGTGACATGTATAGTGCCATTGTAGATTTGGGCTCTGAGAGCAAACTAGAACTTTTCGATCATAATATGTATGCAGCAATTGTGCCTTACATACTGTACCTTTAGTGTAAGTGCCGTTAAATTGAAAGAGTATGCTATTAAATTACAAGACTATATCAGAAGCTTTGAGTAAGCTTGTGATATAGTCTTGTCAATGGTGCAAGATATGGCTGTAAGCATGGACGTGTTCAAAGTGGACCATGAGTGTTAATGGAGGTTTTAGATATTTCAGAAGCAAGATGAAACACTGATACTTGATGAACTAATTACCTGCTGGTGATCAATACCATAATGATAGCCAGAAAAACTGTGACGCAAATGTAGCTGCAAGAACAAAAAAATTGCACAGATTCTGTAACACGTGTTATAGAAAATACATAAAGCTCAGGTGATAATGTATGTGATTAAACGTGTTTATTTTGAATCAACCTGTCGCCAAACTGACAATGCACTGTTAAGTGATATGAGATATCAGACTCAAAAAACTATTTTTGTAATGAAAAAGCATTCAATCACAATAAAGCAAAAGTGTGATTTGATCCTCTCAATTATGTGTAATGTTTTTTTAACAACCTTAAAGCAACTTATTCAACAGCTGCTGTATTTGTCACATAATTCACTGAAAACAGAACTCTGTACCCATGTTTACTTCATGTTAACAGAATATTGTACATTTTCACATTAAAATATATTTTCTGTACATATTGCATCTTTAATTTAGATGAAAAAATAAATAAATTAAACTAAAGTCATCATTTCATTCTGCCTGGAAACATACCCAAAATGTCTGTGTGAACTGCTCAACATGTTTAAATCAATACAACTCAATATATAGCTGATAGTCCAATTGTAAAGAGTCTCCCAGATACATTAGTATAGGTAGTCATTACCACACAGAAAAAATAGGAGTGGGCCATGTAGTCATTTTGGAATTGAGTTATAACCAAAATTAAGATTCTGTTTTGCAATCAAACAGCAGAAGAAATGTTAGTTTTGCATGGTAAACATGAATACATCAGAGCTGTTGCATTTATTTCCCAATATTATCTACATTTATGGGCAAATACTATAGTTCATCTTTTATCCAGTATGTCCAGGCACCTGCGGAGCCACAGCCTGGATGTGTGAAAGGCTTCAGTGGGTTTAGAAAAGTGGAGCACATGCTGACAGGCAGAGGCCCCCTCTGGTCTGGCTGTTTGACTCTGACCCTCCTTGATCCAGTGCAGTAAGGCCTGTTGAACACAGATAAACATTCTCTTAAAGTAGCATTTGGTAAACTGATCTCTTGATAAGAGTCGATCAAAATTAATTCTTAAGACTTTCTCTCTTACGTGGAAGAGCAGATTCTTCTGATGAGCTGCAATCTACCTTTATGTATTTCCAATTTTTGTAGATGACTCTTACATTACTGGCTTTCGATTGGTTTGACGAACATCTTGTAATTCAGAAGAACCAGAAGCTTCCTTGTAAACCACAGCACATGTCGCAACAAATGACTTTAGTGTAATGAAGTAAAAAAAAAGTGGATATACTTACTGGACCTGAAACATTAGTTAAAATTCAAACTGTCGTTGTGAAACAGTCAGATTCAGAGTGAAATATGTCTTTCAGTATCTACTAGCTCAGCACATGCAGGTTAAAATGTTTAAGAGTTTACTTTAAGGACCCCTGTGAACTCTGAACTCAGTTACTGAAGGTACAGTAACTGAGAACATTCTCGGTGTGGTGTATGGATGTTGCTAAAAAGAGAGTTGAAATAATAAGGATGACTTTGGCATGTGATACTTCAACTGAACACATTGACCCAGCCCAGCACCAAGTAAGTGAGAAACCAAATTGACTTGTTCTATTCCTATATGTAAATGTGCTATTTTCATTATAACACTGGAACCTGCCCTGTCCGATAAGTTACATCTACTGTACAAAGACTTAAATTTGCAAATGATAAATTTGGGATTATTAACAGAATCAGGGTTCTTCCTTGTTTTCTACCTTGTATCTTTCAGCTATTTTGAAGCCGATTGCGACCTGTAGCTTGCAAAGGCAGATGGATCAGAAATCCAGGGGCCAACTATCAGACTCCTCAAGGTGGTTGGGGCCCTGTATGACGCAGTTCAACCACTGGCAATGCATTATTTCAAACATATGGCCAATCTCATAGGTCATTGTCTGGAAAGAAATATTTAACTTCAGGGTTTTCTGACAAAAAAAACAGCAGTATTGAGTGTTTTATCAGCAGTACTGATAAAAGTAAAATTGGGGGCGACCTTTGGGAAGGCCATTCAAAGGTTCAATGACCAAAACTGAGTGAGTGGTGAAGTATGTAAGAAACCTTGCAGGATCGAAGCAGCAGAGTGCCCTTGATGGAGGGAATGTAATATCAAACACAGAGTAGTCCCCCTGCTTTGTCTGAAGCCCTTTCCTCAGCCTGTCAGCATAACTTCTGCTGTAGAAGTTGTCCTCATACCTGGCAAAGCTGAAAATGCCCATTCGTGCAAGAACAGTTGAGAAACAACAGCGAGGATGACATGTAAATCACTTTAGAACCACCTAGTGGCATCTCCACCACATTACATCATCAGACACTACCATTTATCTGCAATGTTTACTGATTCCCTCTTCTTTGATAGTGTGCTTGTCTTGGATATATCAGGGCAGATTTACAGTATATTGAGATGAAGTGGAGTATTATTATTTAGTGTAGCAGCATCCCTCTATGTCTCATCTATCAAAGTTATTTATATTTTCTTAATTAATGCTTTGTGGTAAAATCTCACCCTTGCAGAGAGAAGCCTGTCCAAAGACAAAGTTCCAGGAGTCTTTGGGTTAGAGGTCAATCATTGTGATTCCAACAATACAAAAAGCATCTTTTGGTTTCCTATTCCTCAGGAATCATTGCAGGTCACCTACATTTCAAGAGAAAACATTAATAACAAAGCAATATCACACACTGTCCAGATGGAGATCACTGCATTTCACCCCTCATGCTCTTGCATCTCAACATGGAAAGTGGCCAAAAGAGTCAATAGACATGGACTCCCTAACTTACCAGTGAGGATGTGAAGGTTGTGTGAGTTACTGTTAACCCTGAACGAGCATCCTGTTTCAGCTACAGTCACCGCCGGCAGAAACTTGACAGAAAGCTCGTAGAAGAAGTGTTTCAATATGAGATTCCACACTGCTGCATTGTCTGTCCGCAATAAAACAGCAGATAAGTTGACATCATGTATTTCTGTGCAATGTCTACCCACTCCCTCAGCTTTCAAAAGTAGATCAGGCCTTGGTTTCATACATTTAAATGTTAGAAGTCTGGTCCCTAAAATGGATATGATCAAGATCTGGGCAAATACGACAAATGCTGGTGTAATGGTTCTATCAGAAACTTGGCTTAAGAAATCTGTAACTGATGACTTAATTTTTATTGATGGTTACAAAGTCTATAGAACTGATCGGTTGGGTAAAGGAGGTGGGGTTGCCATGTATGTCAAATCCAAGCTCATTAGCTCTGTAACTCTGCCAATTACTAAAGCTAAACAGTTTGAGGTCTTTGCCGTCAAAGTAGGTGTATCAAAGGATTCTTACATCACTGTTGTTGGTTGCTATAGACCCCCATCTGCTGCAAAGGTTGCTTTCAAATCTATTTCAGATATTTTACATGAATTAAATGACTCTGAATTCATCCTTATGGGTGATCTAAATTGGGACTGGCTTTCAGGGACATCAGATTGTTTTAAAGAACTGTGTGATTCATTAAACCTAGTGCAACTCATTAATGCTCCAACAAGGCCAAATCCTAAAGCACAACATAAATCTGCCTTGCTTGATTTAATTATAACAAATACATCTCACAAATACACCTCAACTGGCATATTTTGCAATGATGTCAGCAATCATTGTGCAATTGCTTGTGTCAGGAATACAAAAATCCCCAAGGTAAATTTTCTAAAAGATATTTTAAAGGTTTTCAAGTGCAGGCTTTCCTGCATGATTTATATCATAGTGATCTTAACAGAGTAACTCTGATTCCGGATGTTGAATTGGCATGGGAATATTTTCACTAACTTTTTATGTGTATCTCTAATAAACATGTTCCGATTAAAAAGTTTAGATCAGTGGTAGGGAAAATCCCTGGTTCTCAAACAGTCTTTCAGAGCTAATTCATTTAAGAAATAAATCGTGGGCCCAACCTAGATTTTCTAACACCTCTGCTGATTGGACTACATTTAAACCCTAAGGAACAAGAGCACCTTAATGATAAGAAATTCCAAATCAGAGTTTTATCTGAAGACAGTTACAGAGAATCTAAATAACCCCTCAAAATTCTGGAAATTAATTCAATCTATGTCAGCTACACATGTTGCTTCAAGCCTCCCTGAACACATTCTGGTTGGCTCAGATGAAATAAAGGATAAAGCTGCTATGGTCAGTCAGTTAAACAAACACTTTATCTGTGTTGGGTCTGCATTTGACAGCTCAAATGTAAATGCACCTGTCATATTCTGTCACCACTGCAACTGATAGAAATCTGGATTTGTTTGATTTTAAAACTATTTCAGTTGCTCAAGGTTGTAAAGCTCTGAAGGGCACTGACCACAAAAAATCTGCAGGTCCCAAGAATCTGGATCCTTATCTCCGAAAGGTGGTGGCAGATGTTATTACTCATATTTTTAATTTGAGTCTTATGTCCAATTCAATACCCCAAATCTGGAAAGCTGCTTATGTTCTCCCCTTATTTAAAGAGCTAAACAACTACTGTCCAATCTCCAAACTCTCAATCCTGGCTAAGATCCTTGAATCCCAGGTACATTTACAGTTAAAACAGTTCGTACTTGATAATATTTTAAACAATTTTCAATCTGGTTTTAGAACTGGCCACAGTACCCTTACTGCTGCTATGGTGGTAATAAATTATCTTATTGGTGCCTTAAAAAGAAAACACCATTGCACTGCCTTATTTGTAGATCTATCCAAGGCGTTTGATTCTGTGAATCATGAATTGTTGCTGAACAAACTTAGGGATGCTGGTTTCTGTGCTAATGCTGTTAAATGGTTTAGAAACTATTTTGTAGATCGGACTCAGTGTGTCCATGCATAAGGCCACAAATCTGAGTTTCTTGAGATATCTAAAGGGGTCTCCCAGGGGTCTATTTTGGGACCTATTCTGTTCTTTGTTTTTATAAATGATTTAGGTAAGGATGTTCAAGCAAAAATACACTTCTATGCTGATGACACTGTCATTTATACTCATGCTCTTTCCATAGCACAGGCTGTGCAAGAGTTTCCGACTGCATTTCAGTCATTACAAACTGCTCTGCTCAATTTAAAATTGGTTTTAAATCCTCAGGAAACGAAGTTCATGGTCTTCTCAAAAGCTCGACTACAGTTGCTTGATGATCTTAGCATTTTTATATCTGATGGTAAATCCATTGAAAGGGTGCCCATGTATAAGTACTTTGGTATATGGATAGACGACAAACTTTTATTTAATGTAAATATTGCTAATCTAGTTAGGAAGCTCAAAGTGAAGATTGGCTTTTATTTTAGAAATAAATCTAGCTTTACTTTCAATGCCAAAAAAAAAAACTTGTGGAAGCTAATTTTCTGTCTGTGATTGATTATGGTGACATATTATATATGCACACAGCCTCCTCCATCTTACGGAGCCTTGATTCAGTGTATCATGCATCTCTACGCTTTATTACAAATGCAAAGTCCCTCACTCACCATTGCATTCTTTATGATCTGGTGTGTTGTACATCACTGACCACCCGCAGAAAACAGCACTGCTATATTTTTATAAATAAAGCCATGCTAGGTAAACTTTGACAGAACTGGGGAAAACTGCATTTTCATATTATGCACCCTGGGCATGGAATAATTTGCAAAAAGATCCCAAACATGTAAAGAAACATGTATATCAATTGATAAATTTAAGAGCATCATAAAGAATGTGGTGAAGGAGACGTGGTTGTTTTTCTTGAGAGGCCACTGTGTTTGAATAGAAGTGTTTTTGTGTTGTTTTTTGTTTGTTTTTGTGAATTTTGTCATGATTGTATGTAGCATTTTAATATGTTATGTTTATGTATGGCTGCTACCTTGTATGTAGCTTTTTAATATGTTGTCTTTATAAATGGCTGCAACCTTTTTTGATCTCAATGAGACTTCCTGGTAAAATAAAGGTAAAATAAAAATATAAAATAAGAGCTCATGGGTTATGCGTTATTAAAGTGGCATTGAGACATACCAAACATGCTTACAGTAAATGTCTCCTCATTTAAAAAAAATAGCATCTTATTGTGGCTGGCATTGGGGGTTTTGCATTTAGGGTCTCTGTAGAAGCTCTCAAAGTCTTGAGGCTCCTCAGGGTGAGCGGAGATCCAGTCTGAGTAAGAGTTCACTATGATGGTTTGGAAAAGGGAACCTGGCGGCCCTGGGTGGAATCCTTCCTCCAGAAGATGCCTTTCTTCTTTTGTGTATTTTCTGTAAAGTTTAGCCAAGTCCTGATGATGAGAGACCAACGCTGTCTGCAGCGTCTCCACAGAGTGCTGGATCGCCTTCATCTATGGGAGGGACATACAGCATTAACATGGCTACAGATGAAGTCAAGGGGAAATTTGCAACATGGCATCACGTAGAGATCATTTTCTGTTCCTTGCTATAGTTTGAATACCTGACCCAATACACCTACCTATGTATGTTTATGACAAACTATATTAAACAATACAATTAAATATTTTTAACATTTGAGTTTTGTTAATGAAAATTTTATCCTGAAAACTAAATGTGTCCTGGTTATATCTGGGGCCCTGTTTACACCTGGCATTAACATGCGTCTTGGATGATCCAAGTGAACAGCTCTGAGTACAGGGGCGAGTTCAGCGCAGACAAAACGTAGCAAAACGTTATTTTCAACGGAAACGGTGTTTCCTTGATCACCCTGCTGTGTACGCAAGCGCACTGAATTTTCCTGCCTTTTTAACACTGTTGTGTTCACAAATTTGTGGCAGCTGAATGGGTAACACCTGTGACACGCCCACCAAACAGGAGAAAACATACCTCGAAGTCCGTTGCAGAACGTTGCGCAACGTTGCAAAGAAACATGTCGTTCAATCACTTCCAATACCCTACGGCCAACATTTCTAAAAATCCTTTTTTGTATTGGTCTTAAGTAATATTCAAATTTTCTGAGATACTGATTTTGGGGGTTTCATTAGTTGTCAGTTTTAATCATCACAATTAAAAGGAATGAACACTTGAAATATATCAATCTGTGTGGAATTAATGTATACATTATACAAGTTTCACTTTTTAAATGGAATTACTGAAATAAATCCACTTTTTGATGATATTGTAATTATATGACCAGCACCTGTAAATATATTATAGCTTGTGAATTTACACAGCTGTTCATTGTTTGAACTTCATACTAAATGTATAGTCTTTACTGACATGCAGTGGTTACTCTCAAAATTCTATGCTGCCTGTCTTTCTAATCATTGTTTACATGAAATTAAGTCTTTCACAGCAGAACTCTTCAGCTCCTTATTTTGATCTTATTAACATTCTTATCAAATAAAAACAGGCCCTTCACTCCTGGTTTCAATAGTAAACCACTACAAGAGTGACAATTACCAACAAAAAACACCATATTCCAAGCAGACATGATTAACAAAACATAAATCACAAAGTAACTTTTCTGTTTCAAGGAAATAGAAGACTTATTTGCAAATTTTAACAAAGCTTTCTTCACCGCCATGCATCATGGGAATTCTGAGGGACAGGGCGAAAATTACATTACAAAATTACAATAAAATTTGCTAATAAGTCTTCTATTTGCTTGAAACACAAGCGTTACTCAGGTTTTCCTTGTATCTGCTTCTCCTTGGACATATTATCCATAAACATGGCATTTCTTTTCATATTTATGCTGATGACAAATATACTTGCCCGTCAGATCTACAGATCCTGGAATGCTGAGTTCACTTAACAACTGCCTTTGTGAAGTTACAAAATGGATGTCAAATAATTTCCTCCAACTGAACTCAGACAAAACAGAAATCCTGGTCATTGGATCCCAGCAGATGGCAAATCAAATACTGCCTGCTGGTTCCCTAGTAAATCACATTAAGCCTGTGGCAAAGAACCTTGGTGTTTGGTTTGATAGTAATTTAAATTTCGAGCAGCACACCACAAAGCTTGTTCAATCATGTTTTTATCAACTTAGAAATATAGCTAAAATTCGATCTATGTTAACTTTTAAGGACACGGAGACCATTTTACACGCCTTCATCTCATCACGCCTGGATTATTGCAACAGCCTTTTCACCTGTTTAACCCAAAAATCTATTGATCGACTCCAGACTGTCCAGAACTCAGCTGCCAGGCTTTTAACCAGAACAAAGAAATATGACCACATTACTCCTATTTTAGCTTCATTACACTGGCTCCCAGTATGTTTTAGAATTGACTTTAAAATTCTATTGATCACTTTTAAAGCTCTTCATGGCCTCTCGCCTTGTTATATTTCTGACCTTTTAGTCCCATACACACCAGCACACACCTTGAGATCCTCGGGCAGAGGTCTGTTGTCTGTTCCAGAGTCTCGACTGAAAACTAAAGGGGACAGAGCCTTTGCTGTCAGGGCCCCGAGGCTCTGGAACAGCCTGCCCGAGGAAATCAGGTCAGCTGAGTCAGTGAACTCTTTTAAGTCCCTTCTTAAAACATACTTTTATAGGAGAGCATTTCCCGATCTTATTTGACTTCATTTTATCCCTTTTATTTTATTGTATTTTACTAATTTTATATTTATCTTAAACGTGTATTTTAGTCTTTTCAATGTTTTCATGCTTTATCTTGTATTGTTTTTGTATTATTGTCTCTTGGGTATTATTGTCTTTACACTTGTTAAAGCACTTTGTAACTTGTTTTTGAAAAGTGCTCTACAAATAAAGATTATTATTATTATTATTATTATTATTATTATTGTGGTGGTTTACTAGTGAAACCAGGAGTGAAGGGCCTGTTTCGTTTGATAAGAACTGCTGAATTTAAAATATATTCAATAGGATAGTGATAGAGACAGTCTTCAAAATACTACTTCTTATGTCTGACATTGATTTTAATGCACAACACATATATCTTATGGCTTGTGAATTAATACAGCTGGTTCTTGTTAAGTTAGATGCGAACAGAATGTAGAGTCCTTACTGACTTTTAGTGATTAGTTTAAAATTCTATGTTGTTAGTCTTTATAAATGCAATCATTGTTTACATGATATTAAGTCTTTCACAGCATAATTATTTGGCTGTTTATTTTATCCTTCAACAGCGGAGTAGACATCACAGAAAATATGTTTATAAGCAGAACATGCCTTCTATTGGTGCTTAGGAGGCATTTTTTTGTCAGAATAAGACACACGATTGACAAAGAAACTTGAAAGCCTTCTCTTCACAGTGTATCTTAGTAGTCCAGTGGTTTAGGTCTTGCTCTTGCTCTGGATCCAGAGATTGATGGGTCAAACGCCAGTCACAGCATGTTAATGAAAAGGGGCAAAACTTAACACATATGTTTGCTGAACAAGTATGCAGCACATCATTGAGTCTCTTAGCTGATGGAGCTGCACATTGCACCGACAGCGGTAGCAATTGCAAAAAATAACTGGCAGCTCTCACATGAATTTTCTTAAGGAAATGCCCATTCTAGTTTGGTATTGCTCACACACTAGAACATTTTGGCAAAACCTCAGCAGATTCATCATTGACCATCTTAAAGACTTTGCCTTATTGTGGAAGAATGTTGTATTTTGCTTTTATAGAAGTCAAAGTAATGAAAAGATTTACTTCATTATAAATGTATTAATTCTTTTGGCAAAATTTCACATTCATAAATGTAAATTCAGCGCTAAAAAAACTAATTTTGTACTTTTTATCCAAGAAGATGTACATTATATTAATCTGATCTCTGGCTCCAACAACAAAAAGGCAGTTAAAACTGTCAACATATGGTCCTCTTTTTCTTTGTAATGATAGGCTTCCCCTGGCAAAACTGTATAGTATCTTATATGTTTGTATCCATCCATCCATCCATCTTCAACCGCTTATCCTGCCTACAGGGTCGCGGGTATATTTTTTATATTGTTGTGTATATTTTGGTATGTCACTTATGATTTGTATAATTTTTTTTGCAATAAAGATTACTTAAAAAAAAAAAGATTTACTAAAAGTTTATAATGTAAGCAGTACGGTTACATCTCTCGCGTTCGACGGGATATCACAGGGTTTTGACGTCATTTTTGGGCCTACATGGAACCGTCCGTGCAGGCTTTGGTCGGCTTCAGCGTCCGATCCCTGGCTTACCCCCTTGCTTGACACCACACCACCGGAAGCCGTTTCCGCTTTGTACCGATTCTGATGACGTCAGGTAAACATAGGGGTGGAGCTCTTCACTGATACCGACAGTGACGACGAGCAAAGAAGACAAGCTCACTATGGTTCACCTAACGACAACATTCTGTCGCTTATCCTATTTCGGACAAGATTAAAGTTTCCTATATGTTTTTCCACTTTACTCATCTAGTTTCTTGCGGCGGACTGTCTTTACGTACAAGCAGCCGTTAACCGCGATTAACGCCAATTGGACCGAATACGAAAGCGGAAGAACTTTAAGTTAGCAGCATAGTGCAATATTAGTTAGCTAACGTTAAAGTAGTTAGCTTTAATAGTAGCTGATACATCGTTGCGCTGTAGCAGCTAGCAGGCAAGCGTGCTCCCTTCACTGTCATGCTCGGAGTTTCTCGAGATTTCCCTGCATGAACGAGAATACCTACAGTACTTAACGTTAGCTTGTTAGCTTTCAAACGCCCAGCAGCAGTTTGTACCACCGCCGAGGCGTAGGCAGGGCGGACTTGGACTAACTCACAGCTGAGGTTTGTGCTTTCCTTCGGCGACCTGTGTTTCAGCCGATCGCTCACTCACAAATCCTAGACTTTCTGATGAGATGAGACGGAGCTTGCCACACTGAGTTTCTGCGAAATGGTGGTGGAGCTGTAACACAGCCAGAGCTTTAAAATAAGACGTCTCAGTCCGGCTCACAAGGAGTGTCAGCCTTTAGCTTTGCCAAAAAATCATCCGTCAAGACTGAAGAAATGCTGACAGACAACAGGTAAGGGGAATAATTATAAATACTGGCTCATTTTTACATACAGCATTGCATTTAATAATTGTATCACTTTATTGTAATGCAACATTGTAGCTAAATCACATATTGTAACGGTTAAACGCCAAGACAGTGTCCTAGTTTATTCAGTCTGACAATGCAGAATCAATGTAATAACCGCACTATAAGTAAAATTTGTATGTAGACCCCAGTGAAGGTATGTTAATCATTGTGCTCTCATAATGGGAGTGCCACACTCTGATCATGTAACTGCATGAGTGTGAGTTGCTATTTTTGGTTCCTCTTCATCCTCTGCCTTTCTGATACTCTCTTTTTCTCCATCCAACCCCCCACCCCCGCATAATTTCTGTCACACTGTCAATACTGTCTATTTTTTCCCCATTGCTGTTTTGCACAGGAAACGACATCGTAGCTGTGACAGTGAGGAGGACCAACAGCTGAGTCCTCAGGCCAAGAGGTCAGGAGGGGGTCCCACCCTGCTTGTCTCAGATTTGGATTCAGAGGTAAGAATCGCTTGATTTTTACATATTTACACCATCACAAAGATATAGGTTTACCCAGATTTCATCTGACTGTGTGATGAAAGTCATCTTTGAGATGAGGATAAATCTTTCTGCTAACGTAATTCATTCTCTATCGTAAAGCTTATAATGTGAAGCCCATTGACGTTTATAGATAGAGAAAGCAACAGTACATGCATATACAGACATGTGGCTCTGCATTGCATATACAGTGCACCACTGTCAGGAAAAGCTCAGAATGTTTTATTTAAAGCTTCTGCATCCATCCATGAAGCTACACTTCAGAGCCCATCTCTCTTCTGTATTTGCAGTCTTCCAGCAGCGACAGCAGTAATGGGATCAGTAGTCCAGAGAGAGCAATAGTGGTCAGCGCCAGGCCATGCATACACAGCCAGAACAACCGCATCACCCAGTACTCCCTCAGCCCAAAGACCGAAGAGTCTGCTAGCTCTTTGCAGCATAGTTTCCATGGCGACAGCAGCGGTGTCTCCTATGACCACATCAACAGAGTCCTGAGGGAAGCACACTTCAGTAGTCTGCAGACAAGAGGGCGTCCAGGCTCGACATGACCGTGACCTCTGCCCCCCGCCCCCCACTCCCGACCTTTTGTCCCTTGCCCATCAGTGCTGACACGACTGGCACGGCGGCTCCTCCTTGAAAGCCTCAAGCGACACACTCGGGTCAGGAGGAAGGGGATGATGTGTGGGGAGGTTTACAGATTTTGGGAGCAAAGGCTCATCCCCACCTCACCATGTACCATTTGTCAAGACCATAAGCACATCCGCCTATCCATGGCCCAGCCACTGTGGTTTTCTGTGCAGTATTGATGTGTTTGTGTGTATGTGAGTGTGTGTGTGCACGCACGCACGCACCCTGTGCACTTTATAAAGAGGTATCATTCTCTTTACATGCGTGCGTTGATGCGTGAACATTTTCATTGGTGCTAATCACAAGGAAAGTGTGATGATCCAAAGTGCTTGCAAAACTAAATAAAGCTAAGCACTTTACTCAGTAAATCCTCATTCTGTTTACTCTCGACTGGGGAAGTCAGTCGCATGTTTGCATTTGTGAAGTGGGAGTTATAGTGATCTCGTTCACAAAGGAAGTTCATGGAGGCCAATGGATTCACTCCCAAGGAGCATTATTAAAACGATCCAGAAATAACATTTTAGGCCTTATTTGTTTTCTCTAACCAAAGTGGTGCAGTTAAAGTATAGTGTATTTGCAGTTGCTTTCACTATCTAAATGAATCCGTTTTGGTGTGGCAGGTTAGCGGGTTCAAGGTATAGGAAATGAGATTCTTCATTAGTCTCACCACCAAAATCCAACCTCAGATTAGACCCTGGCTAATTATAGAGCTGTGAGAGCAGGCACAGGAGTGTGCGGCTCAGGCTCAGCACAGTGCTCTTGACAAAAACAGCCTCCAGTAAAGGCTCTCTAAATCACTTTGTAACCACGTGTTTACTTCTTTAACATTTTACACAACATATGTATATGTGTGTGTCGTAAGCCAGTCGGCCATACATGTTCACGTATGGTGTAATATGACCAGCACACTGTGTTGCAAATAAAATGCGAGATGTGAAAGTGATTCATATTTTATGTAATTTTCCAAATCATTTGACATTTAAATAAAGCGTTGCTGAAAGTGATGTCTGCAACAGGTCACTGGTGCCATTTAGAGTTCAGTTAAATACAGTACAGCGAAAAGTCATTTATGTCGTAGTTAGTGCTGCAACAAAAATTTAGTTTAAAGTTTATTGTTCATGTCCAACAGCATGAACTGAAACAAAATACATCGGTAGCGTTCATTGTACGCAGCAGTAGGTGGGATTACCATCTGGGCATGTAGTTTGTACTACATTCCAGTCCTCAACAACATTACAGTATGTAACTGAAATAACAATGGTGAGATGGTGAGGGTAAGGCTTTTTATTTGGTGACATGAGCAACCATTAATGACATTGCAGGTATTTTGCATTATTGTGATTGCAATTCCTTTGTCAAAGACAATTGCACGCATTGGTTATGCACACAAAAATGAATTCCACCATTACTTCTCCCAACAGTTTTTAATCATAGGCATGCACGCTACAACCACTCTCACGGGTATGTTTTTATCAAGACAGGGTAGATATAATAAATTATTTGTAAACACTCTGATAACATTTACATTGACATAATAGCTTAGTACCAAAAAATGTGGAAGACAACTCTCATTTGCAGATTTGTGTGTCCATAAGAAAAGCAACTATAGTGCAAATTACAAATTGAGGAATTCTCCCTCAGAGGTTTAAGGTGTGCTGCAGAAGCTTAAGAGTTGTTTCAGTTAGCTAAAAGGAATCCTGAGATTAAAGCAACTATCTGTAATAACCTGTTATTCAAGACAACCGTATTTGGGAAATACTTTTGAGAAATTAGACCTCAGCCAACACACAGCGACATAGCTTAAACACCAGTCCTCACTTACAGCAGTTGAGGGATTTTTTGAACCAACTCTGCATTGCACTCATCCAAGGACTACAGTTACGTGTCCTAAATCTCTTGTCTCTTGACCCAATCTGCTGCTTAAATACAACTTCTAACGAGGCACCATACAGATACGAACCCAAACATATTGTGAATATACATGTAGTTATAATCTTCCACATCTGATCTTGGTTTATAAAATTAAATTGTTTTCAGAAAGGATAAACATGATCACTGGTTTAACTAACAGTTCCAGCTGTAATACGTTTGTCAAAAGTTGAGAAATGAGAAGGCTGATACTGGTTGGCTGCTATCAGCCACAACTAAACTGCAAATTGGAGGAGCGCCGTCGCTGATGCTGATGTTATGCACAGCTAGATTCTCCCTTAAGCTGTTGCCCGTCTGGGACGTCTCTCCTCCGCACAGGGGCCTCCCCTTGGTCACCAGCTCCATACCGCTGAACAGGGATAGTCTGCTCAGACAGGGCTGCTCACTGTGGGGCTCTGCTGGATGGGACGAGCCCCTATTCAGCTCTGATTCTTCAGCAACCAGTTTAACCTCAGCAGTCCTGACTGGCTGTACCTCCAACTGTTGCTGAATGGGAGAAAGTTTCTCCTCTACGCCGTCATTCGTCACCTCCCCTGAGGAGTCTCTCTGGGCCAAGGCCAGACTAGAAGGGGAAGATGGGTGATTTGGTGGTTGAGCGACACCTGTAAGCGAGGTGTCAGGCTGATAATGGTTGAGATTGGTGATGCCGGTAGAGTGGGTTGGTAGTAAAGGGCCTGAGTATGTAGATGTGGGAAGCTGATTAGTTGTTGCCGCCTGATGACTGCTGCTTGCTGTGTCCTGTCTCGGAGCGTGTAGAGATCCACCCATCAGAGCCTCAAACTGTCGCAGGATCTGGTAAGAGGAGATAATACAAAAAAAATATACCCTCATTCTGAGTTATCTTGTTCTGTCCTATCCGTCTTCACCATTTGTAGCGTTCTCTTTAAGTCTCTCTTACCTTGGTGGCTTTGTTGGCCACAGGTCCTGGAGCCCCCTCACTCAACTGGTGGAGCTTTCGTTGTGTAGCGCTAAACATTTGCTCCAGAGAGAGGAGGTCAGAGGTCATGAGGCACGATATAGCACACAGCGACCGCTGCAGGATTGAAGGAAAATAATATTTTTTTTATTAGGATTGCACAAAATCAAAAGAAAACCTGGATCTTGAGTGGATCCTAACCATTATTACCATCCTAACAATGTTTGAGGGATCTTGAAGCTTGCTTGTGAGCAACTCCACCACGACCTCACAATTGAGTATGGAGCACCTGACAGGTTAAACAAGACAGAAATCAGGCCATACAACAGTTATAAAAACAGACAAATAATACATTTCACAGAGAGAGAATCAGCCCCCAAACGGCTGATTTTCGATGCACCGACTCTTTGATGAAGTGCTGGCTCTCCTCTCTGGACAGGAAAACTCTGGATCCTTCAGTCAGTCTGCTGATGAGCGCCATCTCCTGGCCACAGTCCCCTAAGTGCAATGCTTCCACTCTGGACACCAGGCAGTGCATGAGACAGAAAAGACAATGACGTGGACAAAGTGAGAATACGTGGGGTATCTTATGCTAATGCCGCACACTGGATGTGACTGCGTTGAGATATAGGCAGAAAATAGCTGGTTTGACAGGCTGACTTTGCCACTCACCTATCTGATAAGTCCCCACTGCTCTCTCTACTGGCCCCCGATTGGCTCCCGGTACCAGCTGACTTGCTGCCCACAGAGGCCCTGCTGTTAGCTGCGATATCCTGAGAAGAGTTGTGAGAGGAGCTGTTGCCGCTGTCTGTCTCTTCCCAGCCGCCTCCTGCCTGCCCTGGGCACCGCTGGGTCAACGCTGCGGTGAAGACACATGGTAGACAGGCGTCAAATTTAAAATTGATTTAAAATAAAGTCTTGACACACTGTTACATAGTGAGCTGGTCAGTGACTCATCTGCAAAAATATTTCAGCTTCGAGCCTTCTATTTAGAAATCTTCACCGTCTCACCTTTTGGTCTGCGAGCAGGAACGTTATAGGCACACGCAGGCACGGCCACCTCTATGGGAGCAGACGGCGCAACTACGGCCCGGTAATGGTTGTCATGGAGACGGATGCCCTGGTGTTCAGTTGGGGGAAGGACAGCACTGGCCACTACCTCTGCAGCTTTCTGGATCTTATCAAGTAGTGAGTCACTGCCCGCTGGGAGACACAGGTACAGACAGAAAAACGGTACAGAAATTTACACAGAAGATAAGATTGATTGGATTTGTGTTTGTGTGTGGTGGTGTACCACTCACCTGTCCCCTGCTTCCCTGGACTGTATCCAAATCCCTGCATTCCTGACCTGTGGGAAGTTCCTGAGCCCATACCTGGACAGAAAGACACAGAAGACCAATTGTACTAAGGGCTTTTAGTTCAGAAAACGCAAAGAAGGTTATGAAACTGATTCAAATTCATTAAGCTCTTTATAGACACTCATGCTCTCTAATATTTCAAATAGTGTACACTATTATTAAACACGACAGCAGGAATGGGTTCTGTCCATTTTGATTTGAGTCCATGTTTTATTATTCATTAAACTCAACACCATGATAGTGTAATGAATAGATGTGTGTGGAGTATGGTCCGTTAAATTAAGTGCTTGTTGTTACTCACCCATTGTTGGGGGGGCTACGTTGAGCGGGGAGATGACGCTTTTGGTGGAAATTGTATCTGTGAAAAGCAACCTGGCCACTTCCTGCAAAAAGAATGAAGTATAAAAATTGAGTGTGCTTACCTAGCTGTCACAGATATATGACTGACATGATCATTAAATACAACCCGAGTCTCACCTGTGCTGTATTTCTCACTTTCTGGTACAATGCCGTGCCGTGGATAGGATCAGGAGGGCCGCTGTAAACTTAAAGAGCAAAACATCCAACAGCGATGTGAATTTTCTGGTGACGGAGGGGCCACAGAGTGATGAGAGTTAAACGGAGCGAAAAGCATAAGTGACTCATGTCTAACCTGATGCTTGCTGGATGAAGGTGGAGTTCCTTCTAAGTTCTGTGAGGAACTGGTTTGAGCCATGACCGCAAAGATGGACGAAGATCTTCAGCACCTGAAGCATGAACAGAACCCTGTTAGAGTAACTCACAGACAGGAAACGTAGGAAAAACACCAACATTTAAAAATGTATACATTATGGCTACATGGCAGCTCCATTTCAGTTTCATATTACAGGTGGAAACTTGAAAAATAACAGTTCTCACCTTGAGTTTGACATGACAGGACTCCACCTGCAGCCTCTCCAGAAGGTACTCCAATAAACACTGACCACAACCTGAAGACTCATGGGAGATTTCTACGGTGTGATGATGGTTAAGGATATTACCATAGCGTAACAGTTTCAGTATGTCTGATGCTCCCTGGTTACACCAGACAATAATAATATAACATTATAAATCGTTAACTCTTGTGTGGATATTACGGATGTGCTTTTTTTTATATAACTAACTCCTGCTTAGGCTAATAAGCTTTAAAAGCTGCCCTGCTTTTTTGATTCAAATCCAAATAATGGATCTCGTCTGTTTATTTTTACTGAAGAGTTTCCATTGGTTTAGCTTTCCAGTCCTTTACACTAAAAAGGAAGGTGTGTCACTGAGCAGTGAGCGATGGATTTCAACCGGGTGAACCATATGTTCACAGTAATAACCTTAAAATTTGTTAATTTAGCTAGTTTCCACATTTTTTGTAGATTACAGGTGACATTTTGGACCATTCAGCAGCTATCAGCTAAATCAGTTTCTTTGCATGTGAGCCACATATTTATATCACCTTCAGCGGTTGCAGCTGCTGGCTGAAGCACAACCGAGGCTGCCAAAGGATACTTCCTATCTCTTGGAAAAGGTAGCCAGGACAGGGGTTTTCATCATCTGCTGTAGCCTTCATCAGAGTCGGGACCTTTAGTTGGTGGAAAAGATGATGGTTAAAAAGTGTGATTCTAAGTCACAAGTTCAAAGCGCACAGTAAGCTTACTTTGTCTGTTTGATTACAATCCAACCTGTGTATTTTACAGGTTGACTGACAGCACTGACATGGACACAAACTTGACATGACACCAGTACCAGGTTAGGCGTTTTGGACAAACGAGCAGTTTTATCTGTGCTTTATGTCTGTCTGTTTCTTTAAGACTTCAACGAAACAAGCTGGCAAGTCACTGAAAAAATGACATAAAATCTAATTAGCAGTTTGTTTCTTCATGCTGTTAGCTAGCAGACTAGTAGTAACAAGCTAGTGATGGTACAACTTAACAGTTTCAAACAGACACGTCAACGCGCGTCATAGTCGTCATGCTCCGTTCGGCTTTTCATGGTTTCTTAAACTAGTAATGGCTTTAATGGTTACTTACTTTCTGAAGAAAAGCTAATCGTTCCATAAATGTAGCCATGATTTAGCAATTCTGGCTGCGAGTTACTCATCTTCCTCTGAGGGGCACAAGGGGAAGGCGGGGCTGGGGATGACAGCTTGCCAATCACGGAACAGCAAGGAGCAATCCTAAATTCTATTGGTGTTTTGGTCACGCCCGAGGTCGACAAACAGCGAATCAACTTGAGGAAAGCTAGAGCTGACATTTTGATTGACAGGGAGATGAGCGAATAACATAACCGAATATGCTTTTGGAAGTTACCTTGATGACACGGTCAACAATATGGCGCCGTCCATGGATGACAGAAGTGCTTCATCTGCTTGTTGATGTGTATTTTCGTTTAAATGTTTTATATGTTTGCAAGTACATTTAACAAACCGTGAGGCAGCGTCGGTTTCTGAATTGGCAGTTCATCTCTATCGTGCTCGTCAGTTGACTTGAAACCATTAAGGAGCCATGTCTGGGCCAAATGTCTGGAGTCGCACTCGAGAGAAAATTAGACATTTCCCCGAACTTTTTGCACAGTGTGCAGGAGAGGTAAGCACTGAAAAAGTTATTGGGACATTGTCATAGCGGGAACGTCTTGGTCTCAGAAATAGTTCACTTAATATTAAAATGAATTCCAACTTGGTGCTTATGCTACATAAAACCACTTTTCAGGTCAGGACCACAAAACACAGTGTGCCCCCATGCCCCATAGCAAGTTAACGAGGCCATTTTTGCAGTTTCCAAAGAGCACATCCCACGTATTTTTCATTTGAACATCATCATCTATGCGGTTTGTTGGACACCACAGACTAACATCCATTATGCAGAGCCTGCATTTTGCAACACTAATGCTACTACTAATACTGTAGAGCAGTGGTTATCCTTTATGTCAAGGACCCCTAAATAAGTTTGATAAGGTTAGATTTTGTCCCAGGGTCCCGATCTGATGGGAGTTTTGTTTTTAGATGTTTTATTACAGAGTGTATGAACCAATGGGCAAACCAGACATACATCCTCGCATTGTGTTACTTATGGATGGAATTATAGCAAAGGTAAATGATTCCCCTTTTTGCTGGGAACCCCCTTAAGGACCCTTGGGGGTTCCCGGACCCCACTTTGAGAATCACTGCTGTAGAGTGCAGGTTACAAGAACATGCCAGTTATTCATTTATAACGTAGATATCAGACTTTTTCAATTGTTTGTTCGGCTTGACTGTTGAGGTTAGAGTTTACTCAGTTCATGATTGCACGTTGAAATGCAGTTACCCATTTACACAAACAGAAACTGTATGAGTAAGATGAATGTTGTAATAATAGAGTAAGAGAAACAATGGAGTTTAATGACACAATGCACAGAGAGGACGATAGTTAAGTGCATACAATAGAATAAAATAACAGAAATTTCATTTTATCCTGGACAGAAGGTGAAACATAAACTTGCGTTGTTTTCCTTTATCTAATGTCAACTAATGTGTGATTCAGGCAGCAGGGTATGGGAAGTGTGTTGCAGCTACCACAACAGGCAGACAGGAGCTGAGGAAGGACCTGTGCGCCAAGGAATTTGAAGCACTGAAGACCTGCTTTACAAATGCAGTACGTGATAAGGTCCGAAATCCTCCTGCTGGTCCTATGAAGTGGTGATAGATGGCCTTTGTTCAAATGTTACTTTGTTTTATTTCAGGCCAAGAAAAGAGCCAAATGAAAGAAAACTGTCATGGCTCTGTTGGAGCGGACCTACCTGGACCGTCAAATCAGCTGTTCATTGCTGAGAGAGAAGACATGAAGTTTCAAGTGTTGATTGACTTGTAGTGCTGAACGAATATTAGTTTATCTTGATGATAACATAGCCCTTCTTCTACTTGGCACTGTGAATGAACTGAATGTGTTTGGTGTGTTTAAAATTCACAGACACCTTTTCATGACTTTGTTTAATATGCAAGACTGATACAGTTCTGTAATATACAGAGGCGAATAAAACATTGCTGATAGTCATTATAGTCTGAACACAAACCAACAGTGATGTAAGTTAGAGATGTTCTTATCAGCAAAATTTACAGAAATACAATGCACATAGAAAAATAGTCATTAAAATAGCCTTTTGTACAAAACAAAGGTCCAGCATGTGTGGAATGGCTAACTGATGGAGGAAAAGTTTGATTACTAAGAAACACAACAGTCTTTATTTCCTTCCAATGTACACTTATTTTCTCATAATTACTGTACTGTTTACAGTAAGTGGTCCAGTGGAAGCAGAGAAACTGCCACATTTTTGTTTTGATAAACTATCACCACTGCAGCATATGGATCAGAAGGCACTAATAAATCAACAAGAATGAGATACTGAAGATGGAATGGCATCGACTGCGATGGATCCAGATGTGTCAAGCTGCTTCGTCGTGCCCAGTTTATCAAAGAGCAAGACTACACTATATATACCTCTTAGCTCCAACAATAAGTTGAATGCACTTATTTTCATTTGAAAGAGTACTGAAATAACAGCAAGGTCGCTTGAACCCACATGACACATCCAACATGTGGTAAATGTAGGTTCCCTAAACACTGATCACACAACAAACTTATATCTCAAAGTAAAAGGAAAACACAAACTCACCAGAAACATTTAAAATAAAATCAGCACAGGAGACAATAAATCATATCCTAGAGAGAAGCAGACTCCATAAAGCTGCTGAATGAAAAGGAACTGAGGTGATTCATACAAACAGTACTATGTCCGCCTTGTCACAACACTATAGAACGTTATTTGCATAGGGTTTATGTACACTACGACCTTTTCAAAATGCTCGTCCTAAAGGCAAAAATAAGTTAATATGTACACACATTGCTCTTTAATAAAGAATTTGAGTTATTTGAGTGCACAGTATAACGAAATGGAAAATGTTCCTCTTTGTCCGTAACATTTCAAAAAGAAAGAAAGAAAGCAAGGCAACGATATCATGGTCCACAGTATAACAAGTTCTCTGCAGGTGTGAAGTATGTTGCTGTCTGTCTGTTATTTCGCACCATCGTCCTCTGAGGCCTGCTTAATCTGCCGTGAGTGTACCATTGCCCCAGCCAGTAGCTGCTCTTCTAGGGCTGCGTGCAGGTCTGAGCCCCCCAGCTCCAGAAGGGGCTCCAGCCCCGGCACGCCCCTGGAAGCCCTGGTCTCCTTCAGGGGCCCTCCAGCCTCTCTGGGTCCCAGTGCCCTGCGCCTCCGCCTTAGATCCATCTCTCCCTGGTCCCTGACCTTCTCGTGGGAGCCCTGGGGGCGAGCCTCGGCTTTGACGCCCCCGTCTTCCACACTTTCTCTGGGGTCCGCCTGAGCAGCAACATTCTCTTTGAGGTCTCGTGCTCCTTTCTTCAAAGCTTTACCATCTTCTCTCTCAGCTCCCGGTGCAGCTTTTCTAGCATTTACGGCTTCTACGACTCGCCCCACCTGGGCCAGTCTCTCCTGAGCCTCCTCCGCCTGTTTCTCTTTCCTCTCAGATATTTCCTGGTCTGCTTTCTGTATCTGCTGCTGAAAACTCTCTTCTGCAGGGTTCTCCTGTGGAGCGTTTTCTTTTACCGCTCCCTCTTTCTCCAGCTCCTGTTCTCTGGCCAGCTTCTCTCTTCTCTCCCTTTCCAGTCGCTCTTTTTCCACCCTAGCCTGCACTTCTTTCTTTATCCTCTCTTTGTCAGCTCTTTCCTTCTCCAACTCCTGCTCTTTGGCCAGCTTTTCTTGTCTTTCTCTTTCCAATCTTGCCTGCACTTCCTTCTCTATCCTTTCTCTCTCCATTCTTTCCTTTTCTAACTTCTGTTCTCTGGCCATCTTTTCCTTTATCTCCCTCTCAAGCTGTTCTTTTTCCAGTCTTACTTGAACCTCTCTCTCTATCAGTGCTTTTTTAATATTTTCAATTTTCTCCTTTTCCTTATCCAGGCTCCTTTCTTTATCTTCAAGTTGAGCTACCTGGACATTTTCATGTACAGGCTGACGGTCGTCAGGTATTTTCTTTCCCAGTGGCACTCCTCTCGCCCCAAGCTCACCCTGCTTATGGGATTCTCCTCTAGGTGCAATATGGCCATCTTCCTTGTAAGCCGCTTGAACAGCTAATTCAGGAGCCCCTACTTCAGGAACCTTATCACCTGCCTGAGCTTGATTCTGGGCCACAGCATGATGCTCAGCTACTCCACCCTGTGGAGCTCCAACTCCCTCCTTGGGCTGTTTCAGGTCTGAGGCCAGGTCAGAGTCTTTGAGCTTCGCCGCTCCATCTTCCATCACTTCCAAGTGTTCCTGAACTCCTTTCTCTGCCTCACCATCAGCTGCAGCTCCTTTAAGTTATAAACACATTTATTTCTAAGATTGAACACTACTACTTGTTGTGTGAAATCTGTGCTCTCCATCAAGTGTCACGTTAGGGCTGGACAATAAAATAACAATAATTATCACAATATAATTTTTTCCAATAACAATATAATAAATGTTCAATAAATATTCATAAATGTTTCATTTTATTCACATGAATCATACACAAATTTGAACTTTTTTTTATGAAGATATTTAGTTGTTGAGGGAAAATGACTGAAAAAGGTTTTTACTTAAGTTTACTCATGCGTATTTGTTGACAAAGATTTTATCATAATTATTTTGAATGTTCCACCTCCGATTTGTGAAGTGATCCACTGTTTGGAATCAAGACCATAAAGAAGAAGAAACCACAATTTTCAGGTTTCTTCAGCTTTCGCTGGGGTGTATAAATCAGCCTTTAAACTCGAAAGAACGATTTGATACTTTCCGTGATAATTATCGATATCGAAAGATATGAAACTTTTTATTGTGATAACATTTTTGGCCATATCGTCCAGCCCTTTGTCACACCTGGAAAACATCATGTGTATACTCACCAGCAGGTTGTTTCTGGTGGATTTCCTTGTGTTGCTCTTCTATGACAGCCAGTAGTTTCTCCTGCTGGTCAAGAAGTCTCTTCTGTTGCTGCTGCTGCTCCTGGATCACCTGCAGTAGCACAGCGTGGTCGAGCTGGCCCTCTGCACAACAGAAACATTGAATTAATTTAAAATAAGTCACAACCTGCTCTGAGAACATTAGCATTAGTTAAGAAGCTTAGTTAGGCTGATGTGGGACCAGTGTCTAGGTGAGAGGGGAAGGGAAACAGAGATATGGCTTAGTACTAGATTGTAGCTTTAAACATTAGCTGGAGTGGGCAGCAGTAGACACACACAAACTATGTTAAGGGGAAAGGTGAGTGGATTATTTAGTTGTATGATAAAAACACAAATTAATAAGTATGTAAATATCTATGAACAAATAAATGGCCCACTGAGTGACAGAACATTTGAGGGACAGACCGAGATGAAGAGAAGAGGCAAGAGGGAATTCATACCTGCAACCAGCTTTTTTATCACTGTGATAGGAGTCCAGCAGAGAAAGAAAGAAAAAGAGAAAGAGGAGGAGAGAGAGAGCAAACGTAAACAGAGCAAGAAAGTCAACAAAAGCCAAAAAAGACTGCGTAGTGCGGAGAGCCAGGTCAAGAAGTAGGAGAAAGAAATGGATTTGAATATCTCTGCTGTCTTTTACACCCCTTGTAGAATCACAAATAGCCACAAGAAGCAAGATCAGATGACCGATTACATTATATAAGATAAAACAAGCAAACTGAGATGGGGAAAAGAGAGGCAGGAGCATAAACAGCATGCAGCAGACCATGGCAAATCCTATAAGGTTTGTTACAATATAGCCGAGTAAAGAAAACTCCACCTTCAATAAACATTTTCATTTTCAACATTTTCAATCTGTGATCAAAAGAAGTGTTGTACTTGTTGTATCTATTGTGCCACTTTCAAGAATAACCTAAGCACTCATGTATGTGTACACAGAAGTGGAAAATTTAACAGTGATGCTGTCAGTTTTTCCCCACTTATGGTTAAACAGAAAACAGTCATGTGCTGGGTCTTACTGTCATCTTACTGTCATATCCACTCAAAGCTGCTGATTCTGATCAATGGAGGCTGAATGAATACTGAATGTTGGTTAAAAAAAAAAAGAAGTTTACTAATTCTAAGTTAGCAGGACAAAAATATTTTTATGCAGCTATATTTTAGATTACATCACATCCTATCAATTGTAGCAATTCAAAAATGAAAAATATATCCCTAAATGATACACTTGCAGTGCAACCCGTTTTACAATGTGTGTGAATAAGTGACCTAAGATATTAACTCATGCCTATCCAAATAGAGGTTTTCTACTCCACTTACCGTCCAACTTCTCGTCTGCTGTATCTTTGCTGTCTGCAGCAGGAGCCTCGGCTGCAGCAAGATGATGCTCTCCTTCAGGAAGTGGAGCTGTGGGATCACCAAATATCACAAGGTCAATGTTGTATTTTCCTAGAACTGTTTTTATGTAACTAGAGTTACACAAAAGAGACTACTACTACTAGAATACTCACGTTTCCCTGCAGCCTCTGGAGCTTTGCCCACATTATGGACCTGATTGACCACCTCAGCTGCATTCCCTGCAAGAGGATCTTTCACAGAATCGAGCTTCTCAACTTCCTTTGGCCGGGGAACGTCCTGCTTTTTGCCTGCGTCAGCATCCAGCTTCTCCAGCACCTCATTGGACAGGATTTCACCTCCACCCAAATCCACTTCCTCTTTCCTCACAACAGCCTCCTCAGGCTTTGGTTTCTCTTCAACCTTGTGGTCTTTTTCTACCTCTATCTCCACAGCATGCCCTCCATCTCTTTTGGGTTCTTCGTCTCCACCTCCTACAGGAGGAACAGGTTGTTTCTTGTCCTCTTCCAGCTCTGCGTTGTTTTTTCTTGTGTCAACCATGACCTCGTCATGAGGGATAGGTGGTTCATGGCGATGGGCCTCGCCCTCCGGTGCTGCAACACCTGTGTAAATACACAAAACATCACAAATTCTAATCAGTTCATTGAGGAAACAATTAAGATTCAAGCCCTGGGTCAGTTTCCTTACCAGCATCGGGGCGGTCCAAC